GTGTGTTTGTGTGTGTGTGTGTGTGTGTGTGTGTGTGTGTGTGTGTTCGTGAGTGTGAGTTACTAAATACTTATTGTGATTGTAGAAATGTGTTCGACCTCTCTCTCTCTCTTTGTTTTGTTCACAACTGAAGCATACGTTATCACTTCACTGTTTGCACTAACCCATTGGCGAATAGGATCGTCTTTACGCCTCAAATAGTGAAAAATAATCCAGGCTGTGTGCTTCTTATTCTGCAAAAGACCCAGGAACGAGTTCTGAAAATAATTGGTCGCTTTTAAGCACAACGGTGCTATCCCGAAAAATGTTGTTTTTAAGAAAATAGTAGGTAAAGTTTTTGGACCCTTGTTCAGTTTCTTTAAGAGACCTGGAGAGTTTTCTCTATAACCAAACAAATATATACCTAACAATGAAACCAAACTTCTCCTATAGGCCCACTTTTGGTGCAGGTCAAGATTTCTGGAAACCCCTGAAATCTGGGTTTGCCTGCTTGTCCTTAAAAGCGATCTATTCCGTGGTATTAGTGTTGCTTCTTCAGTTGTGAGAGCACATGATATGACCATGTGGTTATAAGATAAGATAAGATTAGATAAGATAAGATACATCTTTATTGTCCAGATCCTGGCACATTGGTTTGAACTAACAATAAACATCGACTAGTTTTTGTTCTTATAACCGGCGTTTGTGATGTAATGGTTATGTTCTTGAATAACAATAATAATTATAGATAGCACTGTATAGCGCAAATCCCCGCTCAACAGCAAGCTCTATGCGCTTCTCAATCTATACTATTACCCCAGCAGACCTGAGAGCATTCTGAGACAACCTCAACTTCCTGGGAAGCATACAGTGCAAGCGGCTATTTATAGGCGCTAAAACACGAACATACAATGTCTTTCACTGTCTATGGCTGGGTACCCATTCCCACCTGGGTGAAGTGAGGTAAATTCGTGTAAAGTACCTTTCCCAATGACACAAATTCGGGCTTGGGGCTCGAACCCCCGAACCCGCAACCTCACGAGTCCGGTAACCTGACCACAAGTCAACAATGTCGCAGTAACCCGCCCATTCACTAATGGATCTAGCGCAATCATCATCATTTAGCGTACGATTTGGTCAATACGTCGATTTCTTGAGTAAGTGTCTCTGCCTGGGCAAATGTACTCACGGTAAACATGGAAGCTGAGATAATTGGCTCCCGGGTCTTAGTGGTGGAGGGGGGGTTCTCGCCTTTTAGAAGGCTGGGGCTGCTAGGAATGATGGAAAAGTACCCCCATTTCCATTAATTAATAGTCAAAATAACGCCACAACTTTACCGTCACATGTACAAGGCTAGTTTGATTCACGATAGGATGGGGTTTGTACCGATCATCCCCCGTTTGTATGAATACTGCTCTTGTTTTAGTAGAGGTTTTACGACGCTCGCAACTGCATAAGGTCATATGAGCGCCAAGGGGTGAATGTGAACAGAGAAGTCTTTACAGGGAATCGAGCTTATCTGCTAACCTCTCAAGCCTCAACAGCACAGGCACAACGTCTGCTTCGACTATCAACGCATCCTGGAAATGCTGTTCACAAGAGTGTGACAAACATACAAAAGAAGTAGAGGAAAATGACGATAGTGAGGATAAGTAAAGAAAAAGCAGCAGTTCCCTGGTGCAGTCCAGGCGCAGTTGGAATCCACCCCTTGGCGCTCATATGACCTTATGCAGTTGCGAACGCCGAAAAAATGGCGGGTGCTCTGGTGTGGTTTGCTTCTTCTTTCCTATCAAACATCTATCGTCTTTATCTCCCGTCCTTCTTTATTGTGTTTGTTACTCTCCTGTAACACCTCTAATCTTCGACACTTATATAACCTTATTGTGTTGCAAGCGCCTTAAAACACTTACTAAAACTAAACTGACTTCATCGCTCTTCCAGGACACCCTACTGTTTTGCTCGAAATGCTAGGCCTAATGAATATTGGCTGTGTTTTAAAGAGGCTGGTAGTATGATATCATTCAAGTCTATGGGTCTAAGTCGGTTATTTGATTGTTCTAACGAACGTACGATATCATTCAAGTTTATGGGTCTAGGTCAGTATTCAATTGTTTTAATTTGATCGCTGTTCCAGGACACCCCCCTGCCCTCCGAGAGACGGCCGTCTGTCACGTCCAGGTCGTCCCGGGAAGCCGTCCCCCCTGCAGCAGCCTCCGGGGACGCGGACCCTTCGCTGACGTCACGGGACAACAAAGATGGCTCCCCGACTCGACTTCCGGTGCTCTCGTCCTCCAGAGATGGGGGTAGGTTCTCTCAAGCAAAGAGTAGAGAATCTTTGTCTCAAGTTTGGGGGCTTAGAAATAGCTTTTAGATTTGGGTTTTACTACTCTAAGGTATCCAATAAATGGGGGGGGGGGGGACAAATGGTCCAAATTAGATAAACGGGGAAGGGGGGTGGGGGTGGAATAAAATTGGAGGGAGGAGCACATTCAACCTCATACCCCTGCACTAGCAGAAACAAGATTTAATCTGTTTTATTTTAGTGATTTTAGTAAGTTACCGGTACTGTGACAACTTTTCCCATTTAGGAACAAAAGAGTTTCATTATTAAAAAGCCTATAAATCAAAGTACAAAAGTTTTATGAATGCACAGAAAACTGAGGTAGCCAACCTGGTACCGGTACTAATAATGGGGGTAACGTGCAATATACACACAAAAAAAGAAGTTTCATTCAGATATCTAGACTCTAGATATAATGGTTTACATGCTCGTCGTTCGTGGCAAGCTGGTAAATTTTTGCAAAAAAATTGAAAATTAATGAGCTGGGGATGGGGGG